TTGCACTGATGATGACGACAACGCATCATCGTCCTAGGAGATAGCCATTAACACTGCAGTGCTCGTATCAGGGACTCACTTCTAAGCCCAAATCCAAGCTCCCATTTGCAAGGCTGCTTCTGACTCAAACCAGTATTCCTTCTATTGTTCCAGAGACAGAAAAAAAAGGGTGACTCACCTTTTTTTGGCAATGATGAAGCTTCTGGCTGGCCTGCACCAGCTGGGGAGAGGAGGACCCTAGGGGGAAGGGGAAATATAAGCCCCCAGGGCCCAGTTGCTGGGCCATTGCCTTTCCTGGGTTTCACAGGCATCCTGATCATTTAGCACCAGCCAGGAAGCCCCAGTGAAAGTGAACCCTGGGCCTCTGGTAAACAAATCCAGCAAACGTGTCCCCTTCTGGGCTCAGGTGAAAAAGTTACTCCCCTGGGTCTCACACAGGTTTAGAGTAGGTAAAGGCACCCAGTGAAGGATTCACTTCAACCTGCCCCTATAGATGGCCAGAACCCTGACTTGGAAAAGAAGTTAACCCTGGCTTCAGGGGCTGTGGAGGCAGCAATATTCCAGACTTAGCAAGTCAACATTAGTGAACCCATTTTCCCCAATTCTCCATGTGGCATGAGCCCCTTCTGGTGCTCGGATCCAGTCTTAGAACAATGAAGAGATAGAATACCAATCAAAAAATGGGCCAAGTTCACCAACACAACATTTCACAGAACAGAACCACAAATGGCCCATAATCATATGGGGAAAAGGTTCAGCATCACAAGTCATCAAAGAAATGCACATTAAAACAATAAGGTGACAAAATTTATTGATGAACAGACTGGTAAAAATGAAAAACAATTAAAATACCAAGTTACCGGAGTATGAGGAACCAGGCATTCCCACACAATGCTGGTGTGAAATTAGCACAATCTTTCTAGAAGGCAATCCAGAAATGTGTTTACTAAACGCCTGCATAGTTCCTTTGACAGAGTAATTTCATTTCTAGGAATTCAAATGAAGAAAAGGCATATGCAAAGATACTCATTTCAGCATGGCTTACAGGAGCAAAAAAAAAAAAAATTATAAACTACTTAAATGACTAACAATAAAGGATTGATTAAATGCATTATGGTTCAACCCTTAATATTATATAACCATTAAGATATTAAGTAGAATACTTGTTGATGTGGAAAGACAGTGACAGCATATTGTTTGGAGGACAAAAAAAAAAGCAAGCTACAACAGTGAGATTCCAAGTTACAATTAGTAAGTAAAGAATGACTCCATTTTTGTACAAAAGATACAATCCATAGGAATCAACAGGAAAAAGTCGGAAAACATATAAAAATTAAGAGTGATTAGATTTGGGTAAGATTACATATTTTCCATTTTTTTCCTTATGCATGCCAGTATTTCCCAACAATTCTATAATTAAATATTTTTAAATGATAACAGGTTGGACTTAATTATTTAAAGTTCCTGCCAACTCTGGGGTGGTGGTGGTGGGATGAATTGGGAGATTGGGATTGATATATATATACACTAATATGCATAAAATAGATAAGTAATAAGAACCTGCTGTATAAAAAGTAAATAAAATTCAAAGAATTTTTTTAAATAAATAAATGAAAATAAAGTTCCTGCCAACTCTGACATTTTGGGCACCTATGCTTGATGCCCCAAGTGACTTCGAACAACCCAGATTTAGTGTGGGCTTACTGTGTGGCCTTTGGAGCCTAAGTCATTGCCCACAGCTGCAGCCCTCTGCATTCCTCTCTTCCATACTCTGCCCGGCTGTCTCCCCAGCCAGCCTGAGTGCTTCCCTTGTCTGTAATTCCTGTGCCTAGCCAAGAGCTGAGCAAAGGAGCTCAGCATGGTGACAGGTGCCACGGGGCACAAAGAGATGAAAGGCACAACTCTAGTTCCAGAATCTTACTGGGACGGAACGCACACACAAAGTGCTTGGTTGTATAACACAGACTAAGAAAACCAGAGGCTAGAGAAAGCAGGGCAAGCCGGGTTGGGGAGGCCTGCTAGAGCTGAGGGCCATGCAGGAATGGTGGGTGAGGGCACTGCAGGCAAGGGGCACAGCCTGAACAACGGGAAGCCAACCCAAAGTCCTTTGGGAACATGCCCCAAACCTTTCCAAAAAACTTTCACAATCCTTGGTCTGCCGAATCTCTGAACTTTGCCCTGAATGGGTAAAAGTTAAGTCTCCTAAACAGGAGCCCTCTCTCTATCTAACCCTGGGTTAGCCACCAAAGACAAGTCTTTGGGATAGAGCCGATAAATTACTTTTACTCACTCTCCCCACCTCTTCCAAAGGGGGAGGGGAGGAGGGGAGGGTCTGGGGGGAGGAGAGGAAGTTGCAGGAACAACAGACATCTCACATGCAAACAGTGCTCACCGCAAGCAACCGAGGGCCTTCTCTTGCGGCGCCACCAACCCCATTTGACAGATGGAGGAAAGGAGGCTCAGAGAGTTAAAATGGCTTGCTCCAGGGTCACCCAGCCAGAGAGTGGGGAAGGCGACTCCACTCAGGCCTTCTGACTCCAAGTCCAGTGCTATTTCGAGGTAACACACAGGACCTGGAGTCAGGAGCCCTGGATGGCTCTGTCACCCACTGGCTGCGTGGTCCTGTACCAGCCGCTCAGCCCTCACAGCCTCTATCCCCAACTGTAAAATGAGGAGGCACGCGATGACCCGCCCAGGTCCTCTTCCGGCTGGCTCTATGAGCCTTCTAGGGGCGGCTGCAAAGCTCCCCCTATCAATTACATTGCCCAAGTTGGGCCGGCAAAGATCACCAGAAGAGCTTCAGCCTATCACGTGGTTAAATAAAAAAAGCAAAACGTCCCGGATTAACTTTCACTGCACTGCTTCTGCTGATACCTGATTACCCAATTTTCAAGTTTCCTTAGGTGAAATATCCCTGCTGGGTACGCACTCCGGATGGCTAAAAGGGCAAAAAATTATTGGTGAGCCAAAGAACACAGAAGATGGAGTTAAACCCAAAACGGACAAGTTCTTGCTATGGGTCTCTGAACAAGACTCTGGCAATTTCAGGCCTCCTTCATTCGCGTCTTAGGGAAAGGTTTGGAGTCAACCCCAGACAAGTAAGAGGGCCGAGGGCAGAACTTTCCTAGCGGCAACTCGATCCACCCCGCATCCAGTCCCCCTGGCCCCAGGCTGTCGGCTGGGGGGCCGGGGGCGCCGTGGTGGTGCCAGGGCTGGGATCGGCCTTCGGAGCAGACATGGGAGCGGGGCGAGTGACTGCGCCCGGTGACCGCCGCGGGAGCTACACTGCAGTTTCGTCAGAGGTAAAGGTACGCGCCCGGCGCGCGCGGCGTGTGCACACAAACACACACACCCGCGCGCGCAGACCGTTCATCACACTCTTCCCCCGGCCTGGAGAAGCGCGATCACACGCCACCAGCCTCTTCGGCCCCTGCCCGGAACCCACCCAAGCGGGCCCGCCACCGACCACGAGGCCCCGCGGCTCCCTGACGCATGAACGTCCGCAGCGGGCGAGGACCGGCCTTCTCCTGCGCGTGGCGGGCTTCCTCTCGGCGACACCCCGCCACGCCGCTCGGTTCCAGCAGCCAGCCAGGACTCGCCACCCAAGGTCCGCCAGAGCTGAACGTCTCGTCTGCTGCGTCCCCTCCAAGTCGCATCTCAAGGCAAGAAGTCAGCTAGCAAGCCTCTCCCCGCCCACCCGGTCCCATGACAGCTGCTGCCGCCCAAAGACAGGCAGATATAACAAGAAGCAAAGTTTCCCTCTCTCCCCTCCCACATCCCGCCCCCCCCGACTTCCCCCTCCCTTCCAGTGTTATGCAAAACAAGCCGGCAACGGCGCTCCGACTCCAGGTACCAAACCAGCCCTAGCGAGCCGCGCCCGGGAGCGCCCAGCGGCCCCTCTCGGAGCACAGGCATGCGCCCGCATCCGGGGTCTCATTCTCGGCTCCGCCGCATCCCCAGCCGCCCTGCTACCGGCAGCGGGGCGGCCGTAGAAAAAGCCCTAACTATGGGGCCAAACTTTATGATTGCAACAGGCATGGGGTGGGGAAAACTAGGGAAGGGGTGGGGGGCGCGCACGCCTTGTGCTGGCATTTTCAGTGCAGCTTATCCCAGCAGCAACCCCCCCCCCGCCCCTGTCTCCAAGTCACCAGCTTCCTCGCCCCCCCTCCAACTCCCGGCACACCAGGGCACCCTCTCCTGTCACGCGCGTGTCTCCGGTGGGGCTCCCAGGCGCCGCCAGAGCCCGGGACGCCGCCTCGCCTTCCCTTCCCCCAGCATCGCCGAGCGCGCACCGGGGCCGCGCGCCGCAGGGGGACCCAGGCATCCCCAGACAGTCCTCCGCCCCCATCCTGCCGTGCTTTTCCCCCCGGGGGCTCCGCCGGTTAGCGAAACCAGGAAGGTTCTATCCCCGCCCGCATGTCCACGTGCCCCGCAGACCCCTATGGCTTCAGCGGGCAACTGGCAGGAAACTCCGCGCTGCTGGCGCTTTGGGGGAGCCTTGGCGGGGGAGGGGGGCAGCAGCAGAACGCGGGGTATTCGAGACTGGAGAATCAGGGGACTCCGGGGACCGGGGCAAGCGCCTGTGCCCGGGCCACAAGTCCACGTGAAAGTACGGCAGCAAGTGCCGGGAGCCTGAGGGCGCGCCTCCCGCACCCAGAGCCAGCGTAAGGGTCCCCCACACCTTGGCGCGGCTCAACCTCCCCAAGGAAGCGCAGAACCCCCCAGCTCTGCGGGCGTGGGGGCCGGACTCCAAGCAACGAAGGCTAGACCCTCCCCAGCGGCCGTAGCGCCCCCAACGCTCCGGCACGCGCGGGAGGACCTCCAGCTCCCAGTCCCCATAACGAAGCGCATCGCAGGGTGCACGGAAGGGGGGCTCTGCAGCCTGGAACCCCCGATCCCCCCAACACGCCCACCGCTGCCTCCCGGCCTCCGCGGCTGCGGCGGCAGCCCCCGCAGCTCAGCAGCCCTGGCTCTGGGCCCGTGGCCCCTGCTGGCCGTACCTGCGTGTCGGCGAGATAGTTGAGGAAGAAGGAAGAGAGCTCTTCGTCCAGCAGCGCGCCGCAGTCGTTCCCCGCCATCTTCCAGCCGCGGCTGCAGCGTGCGGCGGAGTCAGCGCCGAGCCGGCCGGGGGGGAGGGAGCGAGCGAGCGAGGAAGGGAGGAGGGAGGAGGGAGAGAGGCCGGCGGGAGGAGGAGGGCGGAGCTCGGGCCCCGGCTGCCGCAGGGCAGCTGGCTGCGGGGGCGGGGCCGCGCGGTGCCCGCTCGAGCAGGGGGTCGCGCCCCCACTTTCCTGCGCAACGTCTGGCGCCGCGATCCTCGCCCGCTGCCCCCTGCCCGGGAGGAAAGCGCCCGTAGCCTGGTGACGGTGCCCAAGCCGACAGTCCGATGCCTGCGCAGCAATGCGGGCAGCCCACCGCTCCTGCCAGAGCGAATCACGTTGCGTTAGCACTGGGCGGGTCCTTCGAGACAACCTGCTTCGGCACAGCTGGGGAAACTGAGGCCTGGGAAGGTGGAGGACCTCGTTTGAAGCCACAGTGCAGTTCAGTGCAGGAAGACAAAGCCCAGGTCTGGCTGCCCTGGAGGCTTGAGTTTGTCATGCCGGGCTGCAGGCCAGAGAGGGAGGGATACCATAGGTCAAAGGTGGAGAAATCCGGGAAGGCTCCTCAGAGGGAGTGGCTTTTTAAAAATTCTTTTCCTTAGAAGATACGTTGACCCATATTCCAAATGTAACCCTCTTTCTCTCTTAAGTATCCCCTCCCTAATTCCCCCCAACCCCCCCAAAAAAACCCCAAAACTTCAATGACTTCTCTTACCATGGCCCACAATGTCTTCAAATGGCCAGCCTCCTGCATGCTTCCCCAGGCCCACTGGCCTCCTCCCAGTTTCTTGGGTGAACCATCTCACAACAGGGTGCTGTCCCCTGCCAGCGGATGTTCATCTAGTAAACCACATCTTCACCGCATCCTTCCTTGCTGCCCCTCAGACTGTCAACCCATTCCCTCTCCCCCTACTCCCACCGTCCTGGGCTCCCTTAGTTCTGCAGGCCTTTAAAACACTGGTTAACAGTTGTCATTTTACATTAGTTTCAGTGAAGATTTGATCTTGGAATCTCTTCCTACTAGACTCTTAAGACCCATGGAAGCAGGGCCTGAATCTGCTTTGGCACATGCTATGTCTCCAGTGCCTGGCATATAGTAGGTTCTTAATAAATAATGTGTTAACTAAAAATCACAGAGGATTTTGATCCCCCATTACCACCACCACACATTGTGTAGATAAGGAAACTGCCCAGAGTCAAGGGTGCACATGGAGTGAGTGCCAGAGCCAGAACCAGGACTCGGGTCTCCTGACGCCAACCTTGAACTCTCATCATCATGCCCTGCTGTTTGCCAGGCAGGAGATGAGGGCACCGCCTGGGTAAAGGCAGGAAGGCGGGAAGATTTAGCCCTGTTTTATTGGGCCCTCCTGCCTCCTTCTCTCCTCCCACCCTGAACTCACAAGGGCTGACCCACCCTGCCTGCCCTACCTGGGCTCCCTCCCAGCCAGAGGAGGAAACAGGGAGGGTCCACAGTACACCTGCTCAGACTTGAACACCAGGGCAAGAGCTTCCTTCTTCTCCAGCCTGAGGTTCCCAGAACCGCAGGGCATGATTTCACTCTTTGGGCTTTAGACCAGTGAGCTTTTAAGGGACAATGAATCCCAAGAGAAAGCCTAGGACTTCCCCGGCGGTCCAGTGGTTACGACTCTACTCTTCCAATGCAACAGACGCGGGTTCGATCCCTGGTCAGGGAACGAAGATCCCACATGGCACGCAGCCAAAAAAAAAACAAAAAAACGAGAGAGAAATCCTATGTGTAACCTTGGAGCACTAACCTGGTAGTCAGTAGTCCCAGGTTCTGGTCCAGCCCACCACATCTCATTCCAATATTGGGCAACTCAGGGAGTTAAGAGCATGGGCCCTCTAGTCAGATTGCCTGGTTTTGAACGCCTGCAAGTCATTTGGTCTCAGGCCTTGGTTTCCTCATCTACACAAATGGGGATCATAGAATTACTTACTTCAGGACTTCCCTGGTGGTACAGTGGTTAAGAATCCGCCTGCCACAAAAAAAAAAAGAATCTACCTGCGAATGCAGGGGACACGGGTTCAAGCCCTGGTCGGGGAAGATCTCACATGCCGCAGAGCAACTAGGCCCGTGTGCCACAACTACTGAGCCTGCGCTCTAGAGCCCGCGAGCCACAACTACTGAGCCCGTGTGCCACAACTGCTAAAGCCCGCACGCCTAGAGCCCATGCTCCACAACAAGAGGAGCCAACGCAATGAGAAGCACCGCAACGAAGAGTAGCCCCTGCTCACCACAACTAGAGAAAGCCCACACACAGCAACGAAGACCCAATGCAGCCATAAATAAATAAATAAATACTTTTTTAAAAAAAAGAATTACTTCATAGGGATGTTATGATGATCAAGGAGATGACATATGGAAAGTGTTTGGCACAGTACCTGACTTCATGGGGAAAATGCTAACCTCTCTGGTTTTCTGTTTCCTCATCTGTAAAAATGGGGATAAAATATTTGTCTCTCGGAGGCCCTGGCCAATGTTACTTTCCTTTCCTCCAGCGCTTACAGGCTGCTGGCTACCTTGAACTCCAATAGGTCTGGATTTGAATCCTGGTGCTCACTAACTCTGTGCCCTTGGTTGTTTACTTAACCTCTCTGAGCCTCAGTTTCCTCCAGGTAGGGATCTTGTGAGCATTGAATGAAACAATGTGTGTAAAATAAATTGCCTAGCCCTGCACCTGGCAAAGAGGAAGTGCTAATTCTCACGCTCATCATCGTCACCACCATCACCAGTGTCATCAGCATTAGCACTAAGGATGTGAGCTCTCCTAAGGCCCCGCTTTTCTGCTGTTGCGCATAGACACCAGAGTCAGAGCCCCACAGGACTCTGTTTCCAAGAAGTGTCCCTACCAGATCCAGCCTGGCCTCTGATTGGTGTTGTGCCCCTTATAACCCAGGGACCATTCTTGGAGGGTCCCCAAGGCCAGCCATCTCTAGCCTTGGCCTGGCAGAGCTGCAGTGCCAGACAGGGCCTCCCAGGGAAGCCCTCAACGCTCGCCCAATGGCTTTTGTCTTTAAAACCCTGATGTTGATAGAAAAGCCACAAATTGCCCAGCTTCAGGGCGTTTCTTACTAACCCCTGTGTCCTCAGAACGGGCTTCTGGCTGGCAAGAAACTCAGGTGAAAAGGCACCTCACCTGAGATATCCAGCTTCTTTTACAAAAACACCTTATCCCAGGAATTCCTTTATCAAGGGCCAAACACAGAGTCAACCTCATCACCTTCTCTGATCCTTAAAAGCCCTCAAGAAACCTAACAGGCTAGATGATCTTGTGCAATTAGCTTCACGTATCTGAGGCTGCTTCCCTACCTGTAAAAACAAAAGGGTCCGGCTAAACCAACCTCTACTGAACACTCCAGCCCAGATATCCTGGCAGTTTATAGGTATCAACCTAAACTTAACAGCTTTTCTGTACTGTGCATGTGCCAGACACCTGAGTTTATATCATGTCAGATTGTCTTCAGCAACCCTGAGTAGTCGGCAGTGTGATATCCATTTTATGACTGAGGAAACAAAAAAGCTTAAAAGGGGTTAAAGTGATTAGCCCAAGACCAAGCAGTTAGAGACACAGCTGAGATCTGAAGCCAGATCTGTGCATGGTCTAAGCCACAGGTGCTTGAAAGGGATTGAGGAAAACCTCACACCAGCAACCCCTCCCGGGAAGCTGGAATGGTGGCACATTTCCTATTTTATGACTTTCAGGTGAAGGGCAATAATCATGCCAAACTTGGACTTCAAGTGCCTCAACTCCTATCTCCTCTGCCTTTTATTGGCCTTGCCTCTCCCGAGATTAGTGAAAGTTTGCCCTGCCCATACCCTGGGCAAAGCCCAGACCGCCCCAGGCTCCATGGAAATGGCTACAGCAAAGTGAACCTATTTGACTTGAATATTTTAGTCACTACCAACAAATCCTCAAAAGTAAAAAACATCAGTGTTTTCTATCTTCTGATAATAGGAGAATGCTTTACTCAGATATTACAGCCATGATTCTCAAACTCTGGAGTCATGTCAGTCACCTGGGCCCCGTCAGCAGAGATTACAATTCAATAGGTCTATGGTGGGCCCAGGCATCTGCATTTCATAGGCTCCCCTAAATGACTCTGCTGCAGGAAACTACCCATCATTCAATAGATGTTTAATGAGCACCTACTATGTGCCAGCCAGTGTGATCAGTGAACACAGCAGCTGCCACCCCTGCCCACATTCTATTCAACACAACTGCTTAGTGAATTTTTGTCGAGTGAATGGGGGAGATAGGACATGGGTCTTGGTAATCACTGAGGTTTCCTGCCAGCTGCCCATAACTCTGATTCTCTGACCCAGACCAGGGAGTCAGACACACACCTATTTCCCACCTATTTCTCCAGTCCCAGGAGGCAAGGACTCAAGCCAAGAGGAACTAAAAAGTTACCTGGTTTATATTGTTAATTTAGAAAGCCAGCTCCATCTTCTATTGAATTGTAGAACTTGAGAACCGTGGAGGGGCAGTGGAGGGTATGTTATCTACCAGCTTCGCTGTACAGGTAGAAGAATGTGGCGGAGGTCATACAACCCTTCAGGGGCAGAGCCAGGACTAGTAGCCAGAGCTCCAGATTGGGTAGTGCTCAGGTGTCTTCACAGGACAAACTTCTCAGGGCTGAGGCTGTGGAAGACATCATCCAGTTGCGTCAGTCAAGGGTCTCAGAACTGGGGACAGGGGTTTCTGGCCCTTGAAAGTCCATCATAAGCAAGGCACTTGTTTGTGTTGCCCTCTTCTTCCTGTAGGGCTAACTTATAAACTCACCAATACCTTTGGGAGATACTTACCAGATCACTTTCTCTTTGACACACTACAAATGATGAAAGGGTTTCCAAATCAGCCAGTGAGGGCAGTAAACAGCTGTGAAGTCAGCTATGACTGTTTTGCAGTTTTGAAAGGACAGATTTTCATTCACCCTCTTCTGCCTTGTTAATGACTGTGCACAAGTATGGGAATCATGAAGCGGGGTAGGAAGAGAAACACCTGCTTTTTCCCCATCTGCCCACAGATCAAAATGATCCCAGACATGTGTGACAGATAAATGGGCCCTCCTTATGCCCATTTGACAGATGGAGAAACAAAGGCCCAGAGATGTGAATTATTCTTTTTTTTTTTACAGAGATGTAAATTCTACCAGGTTATTATATATATATATATAAATATCTACCTATATATCTATATCTATCTATACATAGATCAACCTATCTGTCCCACCTGACCTAGAATTTTGTGTGGATCAAGTTCACTTACAAAGGACTTTGAATTTTACATTCACAATCCTAAATCATCAGTAATGCTCCTTTGGAAATTTATCCTAAGGGTCTGATTCAAAAGCTGGGACCACTACAGCATGATGTTTATGTGGATAGATAAATAGATAGATAGATTCAACAAATATTTTTAGAACCTGCTGGGTGCTACAGACCTGTGCTACAGGCCCACAAATGGTAACCATAATACAATCTTTGCTCTTGCGTAACTCACAGCTCTGATCTCCACAACATGCAGGGGAAAGACTAGTCAACCTGCAGCTTGCTAGGGAGGGTGTAATAAGTTCCTTAATGGAGGAAGTTGCGGGGCTGAAAACTGGGTGGGGCTGGGAGAAGAGTCCAGGGGAGAGGCGGGATCTGAGCCAAGACAATGAAAGTAGTAGGAGGGATATGGAAGAGTGGGTGGACTGAAGCCATATTTTAGAGGAGGGATCAATAGTCTTTGGCCATAGGTAAGAAATGGTGGGGGAATTACAGGGAATGGTCAGGACACCCAGGTTCTGGCTTCACTGGATGATTGGTCTTAGAAGAGAGGCAGCTCAGAAGGAAGTCTCCTAAGGAGTATTTTCAGATGACTGTGGGATGTTCAAGGGGAGACATACAAGGGGGGCACGTTGATGCCAAGCAAAAAATTGGAAAGAACCTCAACATCTAGTAAGACAGTTCAATTCCACACCTAGTTACAGACAGTAGACAAAAGCTCACACATGTGTGCAGAGAACTGTGTCCAAGGATGTTCAATGCAGTATTGTTAATTATGGTAAAAATAAAGGTTACAGGAAAAATGAACTGTAGGGTGAGATCACACAATGGAATATTAGATACTTGTGAAAGTCAATAACAGCTGCATGAATCCACAAAGATAAATCACAAAAGCAATAAGTGAGATCAACAAGCAGCCTAAGGATACACACAGTATTATGCCACTTACGCAATATTTTAAAATATGCAAAATAACACTCCATAACGCTGGTCAATGCATGTATATGAAGTAAAAGCATAAACACGGGACAGCAAAGACACAGATCATTTTAGGAAAGGAGAGGAGAGAGGGATCCAGGGCTGGCTTCGTGGTGTGTGAAGCATGCACCTCATGCGTGCAGTCACACTGGCCCTGGTCATGCTCTGCTGTTGCCATCTTGAAATTCATAATGATTTTTGAATAAGGGTTCCCACATTTCATTTTGCACCAGACCCTGCAAGTTATGTAGTTTGTCCTGGCGGGATTAGAGTACATTGTACGTGAGAGAGCTCCAATTGTACCTGTGATTTTTTTTTTTTTTAATCTCAAAAAAAATTTTTTTTTTAATTCATTTAGGTATTTATTTTTGGGTCTTCATTGCTGCACGCGGGCTTTTTCTAGTTGTGGAGAGTGGGGGGCTATTCTTTGCTGCGGTGTGCAGGCTTCTCATTGCAGTGGCTTCTCTTGCTGCTGAGCATGGGCTCTAGGCGTGTGGCTTCAGTAGTTGTGGCACATGGGCCCAGTAGTTGTGGCTCATGGGCTCTAGAGCGCAGGCTCAGTAGTTGTGGTGCACAGGCTTAGTTGCTCCGCCGCATGTGGGATCTTCCCGGACCAGGGCTCGAACCCATGTCCCCTGCATTGGCAGGTGGATTCTCAACCACTGCGCTACCAGGGAAGCCCTCGAAAATGTTTTTAAAGTATCAGTATTTGTTAAATCTATGTAGTGTATTGTTCCCTGTGCTTTTTTGTACGTTTGAAATATTTTATAATACAAAAACAATGAAGATGTAGTTATATAAATAGTGGTTTATTTACTTGAAATACACTGCAGAAGGTAGAAATCTATATGGAAAATGTACAGGAAAACATGTATAACATTAAGTGAAACAGAATTATAAAAATGTTTGTAAAGTGATTATAGCTATATGCATAAATGTACATGTAAAGTGTGTATGTTAGAGTGACATAAGGAGTGTAAACAAATGAAACGTGATTAGGATGGCAGAAATAATTTCTTTTAATATTTTCATTTGTGTTGTTACAATTTTGTTTTTACAACCAATGAAATAAAATGTAACTTGCTGTCGAGCTCCTCTGATAAACTATGTTGCTGAGTGCTGTGTTATTTAAGTAACAAATATGCATTGTAGCAGGGATATTTCAGAGACTCAAGATCTCAACATAAAGGAGTAGCTATGATGGAACTTTTGGGAAGCCTCCCTAAAATGAGGCCTGAACTGGAAGTCAGGTTGGAGTCCCACTCTGGCACTGAACTCACATTTGGACAAATCTCTTCTCCAACCTAACACTCAAATTCCCAGTCTGCACACCAGTGGGCTTGGACTGGATCAACCACCCCAAACATACCTTGGATGAGTGTCTCCCCGAGACTTCTGCCTTGACGGTGAGATGCTCTGATTCCCTATCCCCTTTGCAGGGGAGATCATCCGGTCCATATGTATTTTGGCAGCAGAGACGGTTGAAGTAAGGATACTGAGAGGAGAATCCAGGTCAGTAGGCGACCCCAGGAGTATTTTACATGGGGTGAAATCTCCTTGGCTCCTGGAGCAGCCAGAATGGCAGAATCCCAGGGAAAGGGCATGGCCTTACCGGCAGGGCAAGGCATAGAGGGCACAGCATGGCATCATGGGCACAGCATCACGGGAGCCGCAGAGCATCCTGGGTACAGCATGATGGGTGCAACCCTGCTCTCTTCAGCTTCCCTGAGAAAACTGACAGACAACTCAAAAGAAGAAAAATTGGTTGAAAGGGAATATTCCACCTTCTGTCAGTTATTTTATTATTTTTTCATTATAAATTATTTTAACTTACAAATGACATAATTATTTTATCCTTGTATATTAAAAAAAATAAACAATACAAATAAAGGACAAGGTTCTGTTACCAACCCACCCAACACCACTCCCTCCCCACAGGTGCCCACTGTTTGTATTTCATGAATGGCCTTCCAGAAAAGAAAAAAAAAAAAAAAAGGGTATTTTTCTTTGTTTTATATACTCATTATAAGACCTAGAAACCCTCAAAGTTTCATTGAGACTTTTAAACAAAAACAGAATCCTACTATAATAATTACTATTTTGTAATTTCCTTCTCAATGTGTCTTGGAGGTCTTTCCATATCAGTACATATAGATCTACCTATTCCTTCAAATTGATGCATGGCTTTCCCCATGGTGAGTGTGCCATGGACTTGATTTGTAACTGTTGGTCCATCATGTTTCTAGACTTATGTTCTCCAGGTTATATGGTCCAGGTTATATCACTAAAGAATATGCAAATTTGGGGTTAGAAAATAATGACAATGGATGCATTCCTTTATTCATTCAATCAACAGAAGGCTGTGGAATGCTTACTTTGAGTATACCCTTCATCTTTTAATACACAATCAAGCCAGATATGCATAGTTTAGAAAATAACATCAGTCAAGTTGCTACATTGTTTGAAATTCATTCATCATTCCTTCATGAGCAAACTACTTTGTGCCACGTATTCTGCTAAACTTTGTGGGACTATACAGTATTAGTTGTGATTGCTTTGGTTGCAAATAACAAAAAACCCTACTTAAACTGCCTTTAACAGGTAATGTATTGGCTTCCATAATTAACACATTTAAAGGAGGAATGTTGCCAGGAAGATGTGGAAGTTCATTTCTCAGCTCTCTTTTCCTCTGTGTCTGCTTCATTCTAAGACAGGTTCTCTCCCGGTGATGGCAAGGTGGTATGCTCCAGGCCCAAACCCAATCCTCTTAGCAAGTCCAGCAAAGGAACTGTCCCAGTTGTCCAGCAAAAGACTAGGATTCACTCTGATTATATCAGTTTGGCTCAAATGCCCATCCCTAAGCCAATCCCTGCTCTGATTGGTCAGTACTGGGTTACATGCCCACCTCTGAATCCAGGAGTCAAGTTGTTTCATGCAACCCCCCCAACGCCCAAACCAAGGTTTCTTAACAATACACCATTAATTTGAATGGAAAATAATTACATCCTTTTTACTAACTTCAAACTGAAATTTAGCATTTCCTTCTATTATGAATGTAGCAAACAAAGCACAGCGGTATTAAAAGTTTCTATAACTTTGGCACCAATAGAAATCACAGATATTTCATATCATATCACAGAATATCATTTGTGTTCATCACTATTTTGAAATTACAGTAGCTATTAGACCAACTAGATCTTGTGTGTTAATAAAAAATATATATTGGGCTTCCCTGGTGGCGCAGCGGTTGAGAGTCTGCCTGCCGATGCAGGGGACACAGGTTCGTGCCCCGGTCTGGGAAGATCCCACATGCCGTGGAGCGGCTGGGCCCGTGAGCCATGGCTGCTGAGCCTGCGTGTCCGGAGACTGTTGCTCTGCAACGGGAGAGGCCACAACAGTGAGAGGCCCGCGTACCGCAAAAAAAAAAAAAAAAAAAAAAAAAATATATATATATATATATATGTATATATATATTATTATATCAAAATTTCTTTTTCTTACCATTTGATAACTATTTCAATATAATTGACTTCTTTTAAATCATTTGTAGTTGATATTAAGCATTTAAAAACATCAATCTGAGGAGGGGTCCATAGGCTTTTACAGACTGTCAGGGGGTCCATAGCACACAAAAAAGGTCTAGATATAGTATGGGGGAGGGGTGTCTCCCTAAAAGGAAATCAGGTGCCTTTGCCAGAGAAAGATGAAAAGGTGCTGAGTAGGCAGAAACAACTGATGTCCACACCAAAGGGATACAGAGATGAATCAGATGTGAGCCTGCCTCTAAGCCAGTTAGACAAGGTGTCGGCACTTCCACCGCAGGGGGCACAGGTTCCATCCCTGGTTGGGGAACTAACATCCCGCATACCACAAGGCCAAAAAAAAGAAAAAGCAGTACACCTAAGGACTTAACCACAGAATTAAATATCATAATGAAAAGAGGTGTATAAAGATGTCGCTCATTCTCGAAGGATTCCCATCATCAAAAACAATGAAAGACAATGGTGATACATGAAATTAAATGTAAGCATAGAAGTTAGTGGGACCATTTTTTTAAAATATGCAATGATAATTCTTAAGAATATTTTGTTCCATAAACCAGGATTAGTAATACTTCTCTGTGACACTCTCCAACCCTTTTAGAATTATCTTGAGGACCATTTAAGACAAAGATGTGAGAGTATTTTAAAACCCTCTAGTAGAATAATTACTGTTGGGACTCTTTACAGTTTATAGAGCATGGTCCTACTCATGAGCTCCATTCCACTCCTTGTGATGAGTAATCTCCTGCCTCAGGGCCTTTGCACTTGCTGTTCCCTTAACCAGGAGTGCTCTTCCCTCAGCTCCCCTTGTGTTTTGTTCTCATTCTTCAGCCCTTAGCCCAAATCTCACCTTGTCAGGGAGGCCCTCCCTGACTATCTGATCTAAATTAAATCTCTGAAATTATCTTGCTTGTTTACTTATAAGACAAGCAAGGCAGGAGAGCAGGAATAGTGTCTTGTTACCCACAGTGTCCCCCAGAATCTAGGACAGTTCCTCCCACATGGAAGGATGCTATTAAATGAGGAGTGATCGACATCTCTGTGAAATTGGTAGCCAGGCCTGTGGTACGGAGGAGGAAGCTGAGGCTCAGGGAGGAGAAATGACTTATTCAAGTTTCTGTGGCAGGTATGGTAAGCACATAATTAATTGTCCAGCCTGGAAGGTTTTTACCCTGGACACATGCTAAGCTGACAGGACACGGGATAGCAGGTGTAAACTGAAACAGCAAACAAAGACACCTGGTCACACTTCAGAAGGGGGACTAAACCCTGGCAAGTGTAAGCCATGTTCTTTCTGCTAAATCTGAAGTTCTGTGAAAAGTCAAGGTCAGCAAATTACTTTCCCCACATGCCTCTGCCCCACAGGGAACACTAACCTACGCAGCTCAGGAGCAGCTGATCATCACGAATCTGCTGACTTTATTGTCCCCCAGAAGTCCTGAGAAGGTTCTCACAGCAGAAGCCAAGATTTCTTCTGTGGAGGTAGGTGCGACGGTAGAATGAACAAAATTAAACCTGGATTTCCTCTGTGAAGAGAAGGAGGAGAAGCTCATGAGATCACTTTGCTCTGCAGATGCTGACTGCCCTGCATAGAATCCAGCAACATGCCTGCCCTTTGACCAGGTCTCCCTGTCCCTGGGAGTTCACCTTAAAAATGAGCGAAAGGAAGAGAAAAAGCTAGCCAGGCAAAAATATTCACTGAGGTGGACTGGGGGTGGGGAGGCTGGGTTTGGAGCGTAGAGTCAGGCAGGCCTGGGTTTGAAGCCCTGCTCTACCACTATCAAAAGAGTGGCCAACAGTGCCGCCCAACCCCTGTGCATGCTGTTCCTCCAGTATCAAGGATGAGGTCTGGCTCTTCCCCTTGATTTCGGACTAGCCTTGTGACTTGATTTGACCAAGAGAATGCAGCAGAGAGGGTGCTATGCCAGTACCAGGCCTAGGGGTCAGGACAGTGGGAGCTTTTGCTTTCGCTCTCCAGGAAGCCAGCCACTGTGTAAAGAAGTCCTGTTAACATGCTAGACAGATCACGTAGATAGAAAGAGACCCTGAAAGATGAGAGACCACAAAGACAGAAACCAGCCGACTCACAGCCATTTCAGCCTCCTCTGCTGTGGCACCAGACATCTGAATAAACCCATCTTGGATCCTCTAGCTCCAGTGAAGTTGCCTCAGTCAGTACTGTGTGCAGCAGAGATGACTCACCTCCACCAAGCCCTGACCACATTGCAGAATCATGAATAAACAAACGGTCCTTGTCCCCTTAAGCGATCACATTTGGGGGCAATTTGTTACACAGCAATAGCTACCTGAATTTGGGCAAATTATTAAAATAATGTGAGCCTCTGTTTCTTCATCTGTAAAATGGGATAACTTGAATACTTACCTTATAGGATTGTGGTGATGCTCAAATGTTACATAGCAAACATTTAGTGATTTTGTGGAATATAATATTATATGATAATATGGTATAATTTCCTGCAGGCGTTAAGTTTCTGTAAGTTATTGGAAGGACTCTACTGGGTAGAATAGTATGGAGCCATTAGAATTCATAAGCATAACGTTTGTGAACAACGAACAAATGAAAACTGGTAGTGTATTTGGGTGGTGCGTTTTATTTACAAATGTACCTTTAGGATTTCTTTAGTGTCATTGTCAGCTTCTTAATAATAAATCATTTTAATGCAATTTCCAAATGGGATTAAGTTTTGAAGAAAACATGGAGAAATGAAAACTGTGTATTTGAGTTTTGGTTTTAGTGAAAATGTACTCAAATTTCCTTTAATTCGATCTTCATAAAAAATAAGTTTAGTGCAATTATTAACTAGAAAACTGGTCATTGTGTAATTTATCCAGCGGTATTATGAGCCCAGCAGAGAACTAGGTGTTTGCCTTGCTTTGTTTATTCAACAAATAGCAAGAGCTCAAGGGGAGGGATTTCCATGCTTTGTTCTTTGATGCCTCCCAGCAACTCTATGATGTCAGTGGTGTTATCCGCATTTCACAGATGAGGAAACTGAGACTCAGAGAGGTTAAGTTACTTGCCAAAGTCATTCAGCTTGGAAGTGGCAGAACTGAGATTTGAATTTAGGTCTCTTGAGACTGTCTTCCCATCATCAAAGCTCACTCCTTTGCCCACAGCAGTGCAGACTGCTCCGAACAGAGACTGACCAAGCAAGTTTGTGAGCAGCGAGAGGCAGCACTCTCACAGAACGACAGCATGGAGTCAGGAGACCTGGACTTGAATTCTGGGTCACTATGTGGCCCTTCCCTCTGGACCTTAGCGGTCTCACAGGTTAAATGAGGGATTTGGAAAAATACTTGAAAAATTCTGGAGAATAACCCAAACCGTAATCCCTTGGACCTTAACTTTAACTGATTATAGTTAGTATGTTAGTCCTAAAATTGTGCTACAAATATGCCAATGGTACTCAGTTACTATTCTAAGCAGTATTTGGAGTTTAAGTCCCAAGATTTGGGTTCAAAGACTGGCTCTACTTTTGAGTGACTTCGGGCCAGTTTTCTAGCTCTCTGACTCTCAGTTTCAAGGACAATAACAATCATAACCTCTCTCATTGATCATGTGGACCCAGTGAGGTAAACCCTGTGGAAGAACTGAATGTTATATATATATATATCTTAAATGAAAGACACCTTAATGAAATATCAAAGTAAAATTCCATAGTATATACAATCAGCATCAATCTATCTGTTTTGATGTTTTCTAATCATTTAGCAGTTCTTTGATAGGTAGATATATATATATTTTTTGAATATGTATATACTATATATGTGATATAGATGATATATAATATTCAAAAAATATATTTTTTGAATATGATATATGAATGGCAACATGCCTGCATCTCTGTGATGACAGAGTTAGAGCTAGGGTGGAAGTTGCCCCCAGCTCCCTGCCCTACCTGCCTCAAGTCTTCCACCTGTCATCACACCTGGAGAGTGGTCTTCCCCGTAACCTGGGGTTACCTCTCTTAATGCATTAACACCTTGAGTGAGAACATTTTCTCTATTAAGTATCTGTTTCCCCCCATGAGACCATGAGCAAATCAAGGCCAGGGACTGATTCTTAATTTTAGATACAGCAGCCCTCACAGTAAATGACATAGAGTAAGTAAATAATATTTGTTAAACTGACTTGAACCCATAGAGCTTGGAGATTTCTTTTCTTTTTTTTCTTAATTTAATTTAATTTATTTTTTTGGCTGCGTTAGGTCTTTGTTGCTGCGCACGGGCTTTGTCTAGTTGTGGCGAGCAGGAGCTACTCTTCGTTGCGGTGCACAGGCTTCTCATTGTGGTGGCTTCTCTTGTTGCAGAGCACGGGCTCTAGGCGTGTGGGCTTCAGTAGTTGTGGGACATGGGCCTTAGAGCACACAGGCTTCAGTAGTTGCTGCACGTGGGCTCAGTAGTTGCCCACGTGGGCTCAGTAGTTGCGGCATATAGGCTCTAGGGCACGCAGGCTTCAGTAGTTGTGGTGCACGGGCTTAGCTGCTCCACAGCATGTGGGATCTTCCAGGACAAGGGATCGAACCTGTGTCCCCTTCACTGGGAGGCGGATTCTTAACCACTGCACCACCAAGGAAGACCCGAGCTTGGAGATTTCTAAAAGCAAAAAGTATTGCTTTAAAATTAGATCTATTTTATATGAATAGCAAATAAGCACATGGAAGGATGCTCCATATTATTACCGATCATTAAGGAAACATAAATGACAATCACAATGCAATACCACTACTCCTTTCCTATGATGACTAAAATTTTAAAAACTTGCCATACCAAGCGTTTGTGACCATGTGGAGCAACTGGAACTCTCATACAATATTGACACAAATGCAAAATAATACAAAGGCAAAATGATACCACTTTGGAAAATAGTTTGCCAATGTTTTAAAAAGTTAAACATATACCTTCCACATGACCAAAAAATCTCATTCTAGGTATTTATACAAAAGAAATTAAAGGGCTTCCCTGGTGGTGCAGTGGTTGAGAGCCCTCCTGCCGATGCAGGGGACGCGGGTTTGTGCCCCGGTCTGGGAAGATCCCACATGCCGCGGAGCGGCTGGGCCCATGAGCCATGGCCGCTGAGCCTGCGTGTCCGGAGCCTGTGCTCCGCAACGGGAGAGGCCGCAACAGTGAGAGTCCTGCGTACCGCAAAAAAAAAAGAAATTAAAAAAAAAATATGTCCACACAGGATGCATAGGTGAATTATCATAGTAGATTTGTTAACAATAGCCAAAAACTAGAAAAAATCCAAATGGCAGGCTGACTAAACTAATTGAATGAATAGACAAATTGTGGTAATAGCTATTCAATGAATACTGTTCTGCAATAAAAAAGAACAAACTCCTGACATACGCAACAACATAGATGAATCTCAAATGCATGGTGCTAAGTGAAATATGCCAGACTCAAAAGACTGAATAGTATATAATTCCATTTAAATGAAATTCTAGAAAAGGCAAAATTATAGTAACAGGAAGTAACGTGCAGAGGTGGGGAGAGCTGATTGACTAAAAAGAGGACAAGCAAACTTTTGGGCCTGATGGAAGTGTCTAAACTGTAGTGTGGCAGTGGTTACATAACTATTTATGTTTCTCAAACTAATTGAATGTTATACTTAAATTGGTGCATTTTATTGTATGTAAATTATACTTCAGTAAAGCTATTTTTTAAAACATGTATAGATTTGCATGTTTTTTGTTTTTAAATATGGTTGGCTTTTTGAAGTAGGCAGTGTCCCGTCCGCAGAGAATGCCAAAGAACAACCAAATGGATATCTGTCAGGCATGCTGTAGAAGGGATTCCTGAGTTGGGTGCAAGCCCAGAAGAGATGGACTTTAGACCAGTTACGGTTATGGAATTTAGACTTAAGTCAGTATTGCCTAATGTGTGGTAGAAAGAACAGTGGTCTAGGAGTCAAGAGCTGTTCATTCATTTATTTGTCATTTACTGAACACCTAACACAAGCCTCGCAAGGCTCAACAGTGTTGAGCTTGAGCTAGTTTGAGTCCAATTTCTATGCAGTCACACCTAAAAGAATCCTGACACATATAAGCCCATCACTAGGTATTAAATTGGGTGATACTGACTCTAAGTGCCAAAGGAGGAGATCCGTGAGGGCTTGAAGGAGTCAGGCAGACCACCCACTTTTCTCCATCTCCATCGCCACAGCCTTGGTTCAGGCTGCCACTGCCTCTCACCCTGGACAGTTACAGCAGCCTCCTCATGGGTCTCCATGAGCCTACTTGAACTTTCTTGGGTCCATTCTATAAATAGCATTCAGAGGGTTTCAGCCGCCACCTGAAATTCAGATCTGACTCTAAAAATTCTTCCATGGTGTCTCCTTGCCCCAGATTAAAGTCCAAATTCCTCAGCGTGGTTCCCAGGGCCCTTTGTGACATAGCCCTGAGTTGAAGGAAGACCAGCTAGGGAGCTGTGTGGTATCCCGTGGGCTGGAGTGGGCAGGAGGAGCAGGAAAGGATGGAATGCAGAGATGTTTTCGATGCCAAAA